AGGTTCCTATGACAAGACTAAGGAAGCGGGTGGCAATACGCTTGAAAGATTCTCAGAATACATTTGCTCTCTTAACCACATTTAATGAGATTGATATGTAAGCTCATGCCTCCTTTCAAAATATGGTTTCACCATGTCTCCTCACAAAATATCCTTTATCTTTCCTTTCAAATCTTCTCTGCAATGGACTTTCAGGTTTAACCATTTATGCAAGCTTAGAATGTTGAGATTTTAGTCTAGTATTTTTACTTGAAGTTTTACCTACAATGAAATCACTTGTGTAAGTGTTCAGTTGAGTGCGAAGGATGAGAGTCATCTACCACAATGGCTCTCTTGTTCTGTCTTTACTTTGAAAGTGGACAAATTTGCCCCCCAAAATCTTCAATTCTTTTATGACAATGTTATGTAGTGGCTCTCTTTGATTCCCATCTAATGATCGGTAAAATATAATGCAGGACTAACTTGATGAAGCTCCGTTCAGACTATAAGGACACCTTTTTGGAAAAGCATGGTGTGAAATTGGGATTTATGTCCGGCTTTGTTAAAGTATGTGTTGTTGCATAAATTACTGTCATTTATCGCCAAATGAAAATTGGAAGTGCAAAGTACTATTAAATTATTGTGAAATTGTAGTACTATACTTTTTGTGCGTGTGGGCCGTTCTTAAGTTATACGTTAATTTGTTTCAGGCTGCTGTTAGCGCACTTGAGCAGTTGCCAATTGTCAATGCTGTTATTGATGGTGATGATATCATATACAGAGATTACATTGATATCAGCATAGCTGTTGGGACACCGAAGGTATGCTAGTATTACGTTTGATACTTAACACACATGAGCATTAGTTATGAGTTATTTCTGGTCATTCATAGTTTGGCACGATGAATTCCAGTGTCGCATGTGAACTAACCACGTTCGAATTCTTTTTATTGAAGGGCCTTGTTGTTCCGGTTGTCCGTGATGCTGGTAGTATGAACTTTGCTCAGATAGAGAAGGAAATCAATACCCTGGCTAAGAAAGCAGCTGATGGTTCTATATCAATTGATGAAATGGCTGGAGGCACATTCACAATATCAAACGGAGGTGTATATGGAAGCCTTCTAAGCACACCAATCATCAATCCTCCACAGGTATTGCTCTGTACTCGTTTTTCTTTTTCCGGAAAACCTTCGTAGCAATACTCTCTCAGACAAGTTTATTTGTTGATTTGTTTTTCCTTTTGCAGTCAGCAATTTTGGGTATGCACTCAATAGTGAACCGTCCCATGGTCGTTGGGGGGAACGTTGTACCAAGGCCGATGATGTACATTGCATTGACATACGATCATCGTCTCATTGATGGAAGAGAGGCTGTTTTCTTCTTGCGCCGCATTAAAGATGTCGTGGAAGACCCTCGCAGGCTTCTCCTTGATGTGTAAAGAAGTCGGTGTCCCTGAACCCCGATTTTGAACTATATGTGGAACGCAATATATCCCACCGTATATCTGCATTCTGAAGTCGATATGGTTGGCAAGTGTGTTTTGTCCAATGCCTTTTTTTTTAAATTAGAGTTGGAATACTCTGCAGGACAGGTTGATCGAAAAGTACATTTTTCCTTTCAGCCCAGTTACTACGGCTTTTCGTTCACTGAGGATTTTAAATAAAAACACTCAGTTTACTCTACTTCTCAAGGGTGTATTTTGACGATCGTTAGCCTTTAATTATTTATCCTCAAGAAATATATGATCCAGTTTCTCGTGTTGTTCTAGGGATCTTTTTTATTTCCAGCATACAAACAACCACCTCGGGATAGCTTAGTGGTCGAGGACAAATTTCAAGTCTGTACTTCACACGGCACGTCCTATGTTTGAGTCTTGCGCTGGTGAATCACACAATAGTGATGCTTCTGAGTCTTCTGACGCCCGAAAAGATGTACTGCGAGGCTTGATCCTATTTTATTTTTGAAGAAAAACTTCCAGCATACAAACCAATAACATATTTGATGGTAAAAAAAACAATTACAGCCGAAAAGGAGAAAACTTGAACAGAGAAACAGGCAAGACAAGGATTTTACTATTGCATTTCCCAAAAATGGACCGTAACCAATGTATAATAACTGAAACTCTAACATCAGTTCTACCAAATGTTTCCATTTCTATTCCAGTAAACTGCAAGCGAATTGTCGAAAATTCTCCGCTTCATCTTCCGATGGTCCTATAGAACGAAAAGAAGGCGTTTGAAGCGCCAGAGCGTCTGTTAACTTTGCCAGAGCGTCTGAAGCGCCACCGATGGTCCTATAGAACGAAAAGAAGGCATTTGAGATAGCTTGTATGACCATTAGTTAATTTACAAAGAGAAGAACAGACAGCAAACGAATCAAACCTACCCCTCCAACACTAATTCCTTTTTCTCCTGCAGCTTTAGAATCCTCTCCTCGATAGTGTTCTCAATCACAAATCTTAAAAACTGTGACAGAACATTGTTCACCTGCGAATGCAACTGTCATATTAAGAACAACACCTCCGGCTTTCAAGCTCATCAAGAAAATCCTGCATTCTGGATCCTCGGTAAATCTCTCTATAGCATTATCCCTTGCAGGCATAGTCATGGTTCCGACCAACTGAACACAATTGATATCAGACCGCAACAATTTCTTTAAATTAATATCGGTAATCTAAATCTGTTGATGCGCAAATGGAAAATCGTTGTATATTATTCAGTTTTACCTTTTGCAAGGAGTGGTTAATGATATCCAAGAACGAAGTGAACTGGCTGAAAACAATTCCTTTTGCAGAGCCATCCTTTTCAACCATGGACCTGATTTCTTCCCTCTAGAGCCATATAGAGGAAATTCAAAAGGCACGAGGAAGTTAAGAAAGATGATAAGCACGCTACATGTGTACCTGTGCTAAGTAAATCAATATGATTGACATATTCGACAATCAAGAAAATATCAAATGCACAAACGAAGAAGGAAAGTGCGATCTTCATGACAAATTCCACAGATTTTCCCATTTATATTAAGGTTGCTTCCATTTCTCAGTGCAGCAGATGCAGAATACACCACAAGGTAAGGATGATTAACGGCCTGTAGAGAGTAAACGAAAAAATTAGTGCACATTACTAATGGACCAAATAGAACTTTGTTGATGAAAAAACAATAAGCAACAGAAAGGGAAAAAGTCAAAAAAAAAACTTACAATTCGAGGAGGTAGGGCAAGATCAGCAGCCCTGTCCTTTTTAGTTCGTCGCATGATAATGTTCTTTAGAATTTTATCGGTGTCGCCACATACTTGCAAGGATCACGGATTACAATACATGTAAGCACATCTATTTCTGTAAAGAAATCAACAAAAAAAATTACCAGATTGGAAACTCACTTTATTCCACCAACGAAAATGTCTAACTGAATTATGAGGGCAATTCGAACATAGTGCTGCGGAACTGCAGGTTCCAGTTACATTAGAAAAATGTCTTCTGTGACATTGGTTGTGGATGCTTTCTCCTTTGTTGCTTAGACTGCTTCTCAGTTCAAAAAGCGTTAGGCCACAAAAATATTTCAAGTGAGTTGACATTTTCTTCTCATAATACAACTTTCCACAATATCGGCACTTCTGTTTGGGAGGCATCACATTCTTCCTGTAGTCAGCCTCAACAATGGAGTATGCAGTAATCAGTGGCGGATCTAGGAATTTAAACTCGGGGGGTCCCAATAATAATGGTCAAAAAATTTATAGACAAAAACAACATTGAAAATTTAAATATAATACATTTCATTCAAAAATCATATGCAAAACAATATTACAAATTATAAAATCATAATTCAAGCGTCTATTATGAGGTTTCATAAGTTATTAGGGAGTACCTAAGTTATTGATTATCTAATATGGACCACTAAATTTAAAACACCGGTCAAATAAAACTCTCTCCAAACTCCCACTATCTTTCTAACCATGCACACCATTTTTCTCTTTTACTAGTTTCCAAACATCCATTTTCTCTCTCACTAAGAACACAGCTGCCATACCTCCATCAACCGCCTCCCTCCCCATTCTCTCGAAGCCATGGCAGCTCCACCCCCAAATTTCACCAACCCATGATAGATCATATCCATCTTACTAACCTTATGCAGGAAATTTCACCCATAAGAAAAATTACTAAGGTGTTTGAAATAATTTGGGGAAATTTGGGCTTATGTACTGCCCTGCCAGACGATAGAGAAAGGTTGGAGGAGAAGTGGGTGGCACTGATGGATGAGACCATGGCAGAAGCAAGGAGGAGAGAGGATGGAAGGGTCCCTATTTTCTTTCTTCTCCGTGCGCGGTCATCTTCTCCGAAAAGAAGACAGCCACTGCAACTTGCAACATGCAACCTACAACCTGCACAGACCTCATGCTCAAGTACGAGGGGTCCCCGAAAAAATTCTAGCAGCGATTTATGATCGCCGACGGGTCATGGGACCTCCCAGGTCCCTATGTGGATCCGTCCTTGTTAGTAATGACAAAATCATAAACCTAAACCTTTGTACTTCCTTTTGAAGTAAACTGCTCTAATTCACTCACCCATTGACTCACAGCAACGACAGGGCAAACCACAAGGGTGGCTTTGATTCCTTTCAATTTATTTTTGAACACTACTTGGTTGCTGAAAGAAGAACAGCAATTATTGCTACCGAACGTCAATCATGGATAGGTATATATGAAACATTTAATTCCAAAGTGTAGAAATAATGTTTGAGATTGTAAGAAATCCTTGCATCAAATTATGTTGATATAAGTATTTGATGGCTAATGATGTTTAATGTGTGATAAGAAGACAAATTAAATCAACTTAAGGGCAAGTTGTGGATTGATTACAATAACAATTCAGGAGATTAAACTCACGGCAATGTGCCTAAATATTTCTAGTAATTAATAAGATTGCTGCTCCCATTTCAATTTCAATGCTGCTTCCTCTTAATTTGAAGCTCTTCTGCTGAATTTCAAATATGCTGCTGGTGTCATCAGCCATGCAGAACCTGCTTTTAATTTCCACCACCTCCACTGGATCCACTTCCAGACCCTTGGCCACTACCGGCGCCAGCTCCCACACCTATGCCAACCCCAATTCCAATTCCAAATCCTCCACCACTGCCACCGCCCCCACCAGCACCTCCTCCACTTCCTAGGCCGCCACCAACTCCACCTCCGCCTCCTACACCACCACCAGCACCAAAACCACCTCCATGACCTGAACCTCCACCGAGACCACCACCTCCTCCTCCTCCTGCACCTCCTCCACCACCAACACCTCCGCCAGCTCCACCTCCGACACCACCTCCTGCGCCAAAACCGCCTCCATGGCCTGATCCTCCACCAACACCACGGCCACCCCCACCACCTCCACCTCCACCTCCCCCACCACCAACGCCCCCTCCAGCTCCACCTCCTACACCACCTCCTGCACCAAAACCGCCTCCATGGCCTGAACCTCCACCAACACCACCGCCACCACCTCCTCCTGCTCCTCCTCCACCACCAACGCCCCCTCCAGCTCCACCTCCTACTCCACCACCGGCACCAAACCCGCCTCCTTGGCCTGAACCTCCACCAACACCACCACCTCCTCCTGAACCACCTCCGCCGCCTCCTCCAAGACCACCACCTCCTCCAACACCTCCACCTACACCACCTCCAGCTCCAAAACCTCCACCATGCCCAGAACCGCCACCAACTCCGCCACCGCCTCCTCCACCAGCTCCACCACCACCACCACCTCCAATCCCACCACCAACTCCACCACCTACACCCCCTCCAGCTCCAAAACCTCCACCATGACCTGACCCACCTCCAAGACCACCTCCTCCACCACCACCAGCGCCTCCACCACCGCCAATACCACCACCGCCTCCAACACCACCTCCAACTCCTCCTCCAGCTCCACCACCTATACCACCACCAGCCCCTGCTCCTCCACCACCACCAAAGCCTCCTCCTCCTCCTCCGGCTCTGCCTCCAAAGCCACCGCCCCTAGGTCCCCTACCGCGATTCCCTCGACCAAACCGACCACCACTTCTCCGACCCAATTGGCAATCATCATCATCACCGCGAAATCTAGTTTTGTCAACTTTCTCATCACCTAGAGTGGTGACTGCACTCAGCTGGAGGACAATGTACAGAACAACAAGACTCAAAGACAGCCATTTTCGAGAGACAACCATGGCTTCTCTCCTCTTCTGTAAAATGCTCGATTAAATTTTCAGGTAGATTGCTGAGGAGGTTGTTATCTTCTTCCTTCAAAAGACGATTGTTTTATAGGCATGGGGTCTTTGGCCAATAATACAGTACGTACAGCTACACTGAACAGCCTTTAATGGGTGCATGTTCATGGCACGCGTTGGCACAGTTGGGAAACCTGGAGGACCATTAAATGCCAAATGAAGGAGGAAGTCAAAACTCAAAAGGCTAATTTGGATATATATCACTTCAGTTTTGCATTGACCATTTGACTTGTATGCACATCCACTTCTTTTAGTTTTTTCTCGCACCGTCATGTTATGTGCGAAAGTTAAATAACAATGTGTAATTAGTCAAATATCTTATTACATAGAGGCTTAAATGAAAACACAATAAAACAAAGATCTTCGTAATTTAGTACCTTAATATCATTTCTTTAAAAAACTAGTCTTTCAAATATTATTGTAGCAGTTATTCATCTAATTTGATCAAGAGTTGGGACCTAATTAGTATTCTGTTTGGATTTTGTCGATTCTTTCACACATTTGATTTTTCTTTATTCCACTTAAAGAACATGTATGCTTTAAAGTTTAAAGAAAGTTAGACATGATAAGTAGGCCAAACACTTCCTAACCAATTTTATGTGAGCTCTGCAATTCTGCATTTGCAGACTGCAGGGCCATACACATTGAAGCCGGTCAACTTCACCGACGCCCGACCATTAATATTACTCTTTGCCAAATTAAATCACCCACCTTCCTCTTTTCAATTTGCAAAAACAAGTGGGAAGTGGTTGTAGCCGGTGACTGTTCATGCAGGATTGTCAAGTTTTCGGGAACAAGTTGGGCCAGGAAGTGCGAGGCATTGCGAGTATATCCATTTCATCGTTAATTGGTTTTGAGTTGGATTAATTTCATCGGTTGCTAATTGGTTTTGTGTCGAATGGTTTACTAGCTACTGAGTGATTTGATACGCAAGTATATAATTTAAATTTCATTCAAGAACTGGTATGATAAGCCTTTGTTAACAGATTGGACGCTATTATTTATTTGATGTAAGAAAACCGATACTGGAGGATGGAGGAGTCGAATACATAAGCTCGGATGCACAAGTTAATGTTATTAACCAACCTAGCTATGAGCTACGAGTAATATGTAAAAAGTTATGCTCTCTAGTGTTCATCACATTCGTGATTAGTTTCTATCTTCAGGTTGAAATTAGTGATCGAAAAAAAAAAAAAAAATCCTTTGTGATTAAAATACGTTAAACAAAGAATACATGATGGATAACAATCTATCTTTAAAAATTAGATCCAAAAAGTTTGATTTGGATCACACAGAGAAGACACAAACTAACAAAGGGTGACGAAAATGGCTCAAGTTAAGCCCTACATCTTTGATTTGCAGACAATATCCTCTCCTGTAGTTCACATCTATGAACCTGACAATGCTTACAGTTTTCACCTTTCGAAAATGCAGGTTTGCTTAAAGAGGCCGGGTTCTGCGCCCCAATGCACGACCACATAGAAGAGCATTCCTTGGGATCGGATATTCATCCCTCCATGAATTCGCAGGCGAGTAGACACGAAAATAGAACTGCTGGCCTAAGTACTGCCGTGCCCAGTTCTCGGACCTTATGTTCCACATTCCCACATTGTCCAATGGCATGTAGATTGCAGTCCATGAGTTGGGATACACCTGTTCATAGAAAGAACAGACATTAAAATCGATCACGAAGACATAACTGTAAGTCGCGCATATGATTTTACAAAACTGGATTTATCAATGTACCTGAACGGTGGAGCGAGATATAGTGTCTCTCAAATTGTATCTCAATCTGCTTGCAGGGGTCCACTGTCCACCATCCATCCTGCCCATATCGAAATCACCACAGTAAAGATACGTGTTATTGAATTTCTCGCAGTCGAAAAAACGTTTGAACTTCTGGGGCAGAGAAACTTACCCTACAACAAAGAAATTATGGCCATCAATGTGCCATGACTGCACAGTATCCTCTGGATTCTCAAACACAAGTTCAGCAAAGCCACGGAAATCAGCATTCATGACAGAAGTCTGAAGATAAGCACCGCCGCCAGTGGGGTTGTCTTGGATGCTTCCAAGGGAAAACACCCCTGAGATCTTGAAGTAGTCAGCAAGTTTAAGTGGTGTGTCCGGTTGGATGAATGAAACGCTGTTCACAGCATATCTCTGCTTGCCATTGATAATTGGAGCAGAGTTTGTGAGCCTGATTGTGCGGGTGGTGTTGATCAATCCGTAATGATAAGAGCCTTGGGGGTTAGGCCTCGGACCACTCGCTGTCAAATTCCGTCTGGTTTTATACACGTAAAGGGCATGAGATATAGAAATATTCTACAATTCTTTTAGGTTGCAAAAGTTCAAAAAGCATGAGATATAGAAACATTCAACAATTCTTTGAAGTTAGTTACCTGAGAGATCGGGCTTGTTCAAGAGACCAGTCAATCTGAGTTGTTGGGCCACCGGGTGGAGGACCAGAAACACTTCCTGCAGAGTTACTGTAGTGGAGAATGGAGGTTGCACTGAGCACTTGTGACGTGAAACGCGAAGAGCCAACAATGTAGTAATCTTGTGGCGGTTGATCAGCTGTAACCAATACAGAATAGGACTGACCCAAATGAATATCAAGAGAACTGTAAGTGTTTTGAAGAGAGTGGGTGCCTTCCACCTCTACTAACAACATCTTGTGCCCCTGGATTCTGAAATTAATGGAAGTTGTAAGCCCCACATTCGATATCCGCAATCTGTATGTCTTGCCTGCCAAGCAAGTATAACATCAAAATGTCGTGACTCGTGAGAACGAAAATAATGACAGAAATGGTGATCAAAATGCTGCTTGTATTCATTAATTACCTTGATCAACTGTAAATGTAAACCCATTGGATCCACGGCCATTAATGAGGAGTCCGTCGGGGATGGGAAGATTATTTCCACCATCTAAAATTGCTTTCAAATCCTGTAAGGATTCAAAACAATCCCATCAAACAACAACACATCACATTCCTAAATTTTCTACTAGGTATTCGCTAACGATAGTAAATCACGAGTAACGCTACAAGGACCACACTTTTACACCACATTATGTAGCGAGCGAGCAACTGCAAATGTTATATGCTACTTACAGTGTGATTTTTACTGAACCAGTCTCCGGCGAGTATGGTAAAATCTCCAGCAGGAGGAGGGAAAGGTACTGGAATACGTGGGCGGCTGTCAATTTTGATACCACCGAACCCTCCTGCAGCCTTGTGGAGGCCAAGGGAAGGGAAGTAGAAGTAACTGCCAATCTGATCCTTGACTTGAAGAACATATGTGAAGTTATGTCCCGGCGGGATGGGGCAATTCGTGCCAAACACCCCATCCTGCCATGAGTTCCTTCTCTGCTGTACTCCATTCCTGAACAAGAGTTGCAGGACTTGTTAGTTAGTCGAACAAGGAATTCTGCTAATGAAATAGTTACTTAGAGAACAGGAAAGAAGAAAAATTCGACAGAAGACCCCAGAGACTGTCGATTGAGAAGTAGTAAATCTTTCAAGAAAAAAATTCGCAAAAACGTCAGACATTGCTGAATTGAACAGCTGGAAGTGCGCTAAAGAATCCGAGTTTAAGGATTGGATCTAAGAGATTGATGTACAACAGAATGACCAATCATTTTCCATGTTACTCACTTTTTGCCAAGTGAACAAAGTGACTGAAAGTGCCCATCCAAATAGGCAACAAATTTAATACCATTTCTTTTCTAAAAGCGGATATTCTAAACTGTTTTAAAAGAGAGATTCAAACTTAGTGCCACTAGAATGACATTACTGAGCGACCAACTAGCCTAACTGACGTCTCATTTCTAAGTGTTTCCATTGGGAAAAGTAAATACACAATCCACATATGTTAAGGAAAAAATAAAACGAAACAGAAGAATGATGACTAACCAAGAGATGAGAAAAGGTTCATCCAAGCTATTGAAAACGCTGATGATGAGGTTGTCATTGGTGACAGACTCGATCTGCGGCCCTGGAAACTGCCCATTTATCAATATCCCCTGCATTTCCATTCAAAACTCATTTTATTAGCACCAAAAATTCCCACAACAGAGGGGAGAGAGAGCAATGATAAGGTTACCTGCTGTTTAACTCCAAGGGGGTAGATATCACCATAGGTGACATTCCAGTTGTAGAACCTGTAGGGATCTTCACCACTTGTGCAGATCACAGTAAGCAGGGCAACCAATATCACGCAACAAGCGCTTTTGTACACTCCCATCTCTCTCTCTCTATCTCTCTCTCCAACCCAATATTCTTATTTGGATGTTTGAGAGAAACCAATGGAGAAATGGGACTGAGATGCAAAATAAAACCCTCCCAGAAGATAAAGATTCAAGCTTTAAATCTCTCTCTCTGTAAAGCTCCCCTTAACCTCCTGTGCTTTTTTTTCTTTCTGCTTTTGCTTTTTCTTTGAGCACCTTTGAGAGGGTTAGAGTGCTTTTGTCTGCGAGATGAGATCTCCCTCCCTCGGCTGTTTGCTGGTTATTTTTAGTAAGCCAACAGACTTTGCAGTCACTAGTCACTGATCAGTCCACAGTCCTGTGCCTAGGGTGGCGCGAAAGAGAAATTTTTTATTCTTTACGAAACACACGTAGTACACTAAATAGTTTACATGTCATTATATATGTAGAATCAAGTTTTATTTTTGAAGTTTGCGATTTTTTTAATACAAGCATCTCATAATTAGTATTAAAAATAGGAATGTGCTATCTACACATATTTTTTATTTTTTACATACATTTTGTTAATTTATATCCGTTGATCTTCTTTAATTCATCTAATCTGACGACCGAAAATTAAAAGAATGTGTGAGAAATAAAAATAAGTGTGTGGATATCACACCCCTTAAAAATAAATAGACGTGACACACTAAAAATCTCTTGGCGTGAAGAAATTCAAAATTTTAGGACATTTAACAAATCATTTTTTTATTTATTTGGTAAAATAAAAAGAGCTTGATTAGGGTATTGGGATTATCGTAGAGATGCAGAAAGAAAGTCATTTGCTTGGTTGATTGCTTTCTGTTTAAGCGTGATTGGTGAAATCTAACATAAAATTTGGGAAATTGATGACGATTACAAATTCCCTTTGCTGAAATAGAAAAATTAACAGAGCTGACTCAATTGACATGGACATCTGTGTACAAATAATACGATTGACAAGTAAAATATTGCATTTGGACGACGAACTCAACTTAAAGTTGTATATTATAGAGGCATTTGAGATATTTTCTCGTGTTAAAATTTGTGTCAATTTTTCTATTTTAGCACAAGTGGTTTGTAATTGTCGTATAACATCCAATTTTCTTAAAACATTCCCTGTTTGGAGGAAACATTATTTACACTTGAGATGATAATGTAATAGTATTTCAAATCAATTACGTATTATTTTTAATTTGACTGATTTCTTTCTAATTTAATAATTACACATTTGATTGACTTTAAATACCCAAACAATTACATTTATGTGTAGATAAGTTCTTATCATCTGCACGCACGAATAACATGTCTTGTTGAAGATAAAAAAAAAAAAAAGAGATATTGACTAAAAAAATCATTGTGGTATGTTAGATTGGCATGAGCCTTGTCGGTGATAGTTCTGACTAAACATATATATATATATATATATATATATATATATATATATTTGGTGAAGTGACTAAACATATTTAATTAATAGCTAAACAAGGAAATTAGATTTAATTATGCTTTTTAATGGGCCACAAATCTTACTGACTATGGAAGACTTTGGTTCCAAAGAGTAATAATTTAATATAACACCAAGCTTGACCACATAGTTCTTTTTTTTTTCTTTTGGGTAAGAATATTTTCAATTATTGACATAAATAAATAAAGTGGATAGGGGTGGGCACGGGCCGGGCCGGGCCTATTTTTGAAGGGACCGGACCGGACCCGGAATAAAGGGAGACGGGCCGGGCCGAGCCGGGCATTGCAAATATTAAAATAGGAACCGGACCTTACCCGGCCCGGTTTAAACGGGCCGGTTCGGTCCGGGTCCACGGGTAATTTTTTTTTTTTTTTTTTTTTTTTGCTGTTTAAAGCACAGATTGAAATAAAAAAAAAACCACAAATTGCTGCAGTACTGCACAGATTGTAATTGCACAAATTTGCAATCTGTGCAAATTTACAATTGCACATATTCAATACATCCAAAATAACATTATAGCGTCCAACATCTAAAGATCGAATCAACATACAAAATATTCAAAACCTACTTAATCCAAGACATCCAAATTCCAAAGTCCAAAAATCAAATAATTCAAAACATAAACATGACAGTTTCAATAAATTCCAAATGAACATAGGAAACCACATCCAATTCCAAATTTCCAACATCCAAGTTCCAACATCATTCCTCATTGAATCTGTAAGGAAAAATAAAATATAAACTTGATATTATTAACGTCCATCATCATATTATCCTCATTGAATCATTGAAAAGTAGAGCATATTCATTTAAGTTTAAAATATTACCGCAATTCCTTTTCCTTTATTCATTTGAGTTGTTTGAAGAGCTTCAATTTCAGCATCACTTGATGAGATGGTTGAGCTTGTAGATATAACATTAGCATTTGCTTTTCTTCTTTTATATTCTACAACAACAAACAAAAGGATGTAATCGTAAACAAATTAATATAAAGTTATAGACCAAACTATACAAAACAAAAGAATTACCTTCTTCACACTCTTGATAAAATTCAAGCTCCGCCGGACTTGCTTCATACTCAATGCTGCTAATTGGTTCACTTCTTAACCAGTTTTGGAGGCACATCAATGACTCCACTGTTTGAGGAAGGAGAGATGATCTAAAGGGGTCAATTACTCTCTTTCCTCCACTAAATGCACTCTCACTAGCAACTGTCGACACTTGAATTGGCAACACATCTTTCGCTATCAAAGCAAGTGTGGGATATGTGCTCCTCCCTTTCGACTTCCACCATTTCAAAACGTCAAAAAATGAACCATGTTGTACTTTCTCTACAGTGTCGAGGAGATACCTATCCACCTCATGTGCAAGTGCAATATCCTCAGTGTCTTCTAGTTCTTTCTCCCAATCATCCATCATTTGACTAAATATCATTGGATTTTCTGTTAGCACACTAGATGATGGTTTTACCCTTGAACAAGTAGTATCACCAACAACTAAATCTCCTCCTCTACCCTTTTGTTGTGTTTGTGAACCGAAAGCTTGGTAAGCATATTCATCACACATCGCCTTCAACAATGTCTTCACTTCATTACTTTTCTTTTGAATCTCTTCTTCGGGAATGTGTAATTGCTTTCTACACAAGTGCATGTAGTGCCTTAATTTGAACCTTGGGTCTAAAATAAGGGAAACTACAAATATTTGATTAAGGGACTCAATTGAACCAAAATACTTTCGATATTTGGCTCTCATACTCATTGCCATGTCACGTAGCACCACCTCTACACTTCCTCCAGTTTGCATATATTCAGGCAAAAAAAGCTTTTCAATCTCTCTCTCCACAGCAATGACATCATGAACAGCTGTATTAGATGTCGGATAATTACTTGCACTAACTTTTAAAGTTATAAGATAGAAGACCTTCAAAAATTGCACAAATATTTCTGCACTATCCCAATCTTTGTCCTTCGGTGGCCCAACCCTCCCTTTACCCGCCACTTCTTCTCCTTCATCATTAAGCACATTTTCCCCGAAATAGGTGGAGTATATATTGGCTTCATCATCGTCGAACATCCTTTCAAATGCTTTTTTAAACTTCAAGCACGATTCTAGCATCATGTATGTGCTATTCCACCTAGTAGGTACATCCATAACAACTAGACCCCGACCATCCAACTTCTCATTCTCCACACATTTCTTGAAATAACTAAACCTTCGAGGACTTGATCTCACAAACCGCACGGCATTTCTAAGAGCATCAACACTTGTATCTAATCTTTTCAACCCATCTTTCACTACCAAGTTGATAATATGGGCTAAGCACCTCACATGCATAAACTTGCCATTCATAACAATTTTGCTATTAGGCCATTTCTGCATTTTACGAACAATATACTCAATTGCCACCTTATTAGCCGATGCATTGTCAACTGAGATACACATAACCTTCTCAATCCCCCACAGAATCAAAACACATAGCTAAGCTCATCACACAACACATAAATACACAGCAGGGAGTTAAACACAACACAAAATGCATTAACAGTAATGGGCAACATAAGAAAAACAGACAAATACTTAATGTGTTATACCACCATCTTACCAATAGAGTAGCTTCAAGTCTTCTAATCGCGATAGGGTGTGAGATCAATGTTGAAAGGTTGCTTCCCCTTGCTTACCCTCTAAGAATTAACAACAAAACAGAATATCCAGGTCAATATCCAGTAATAAAATGAAAAATCATATTATTAAGAACGAAAAAATCAAAATGAAAAATCATTTTTCTTCTTTATTTTTCACTCTCTAGCCTTGTGAGAGAAAAGCCAGGGAAGGTTTTGGGATGCTAGACTATACCCTATAAAATATGTCTTAATAAGTACTTCTGAATTGCATTTTACACAGATTCTAAATACACAGCAGGTTCCTTGTCAGCCAGCAACATGAGTGTCTGGCTTCAAAAACAGAAAATCGAGAATGTATATGAATCTACCATTGCCAGCCAGCCAGCCAGCCAGCAAGTTCCTTGTCCAATCTGTTCCTGATCCTTCCTAGTAAACCCATTGCCAGCCAGCAAGTTCCTTGCTAGTTGAAACACTTAGAAAATCAACTATAAATGACTGGAACTTATAAGAAGCAGATCCTACATCTGTGCGTTATGATGTGATACAGACACCATATGTGGAAAATGGATCATGGTGACCTCCTCGTCATCATCAATCTAAAAGAACAGAAAATTTAGTACAATTTCTGTTTCTTCTGTAGGTACAAACATGAACATCCCAATAGATTGAGCATAGATTACATACATGATACATCCCAATAGATCAAAGTTCAACTAAAAAGTTACAAACATCAGAGGTTAAAGAACCTATAAAAAAATTTAAAAAAAAAAAAAAAGAAAAAAAAAAAGAAGTTAAAGAATTCACCTGAACTGGCAAGTTGGCAACGGCGGTGGAGTGTTAGTGATCGCAAGGGCGGTGATGTCGTCGGGAAGGAGAGAAAGAGAATCGAGAAGATGGGTGGTGCGGGTTCCTGGGTTCTCTAGGTCTAGGGTGAGATGTCGTCGAGGAGAATAATCGAGAAGCAGATCAGCTCTGGTGGTCGTCAGGGCTCAGACTCACGACGGCGGTGATGTCGGAGGTGGGCAAGGAGATGACTGACGAGGAGTGACGGTGTGGAATGGAGAGGCAAGGAGAGGGGACGAGGTCAGACGGAGAGGTCGAGGACTCTTGACTCAAGAGAGAGACTCGATCAGATTTAGATACTAGGGTAAAAACCAACGGTCACGAT